TATATATATATATATATATATATATATATATATATATATATATATATATATATATATATATATATATATACCATGGAAGTTCATATTTGCATATACCATGGTTCTTTACCGATCTTTATTGATTGTACCAACCGACTCTCAGTATAGTACGTATCGACGTACCAACATATGGTACGGTGGGGCATACCGATAGATTGGTATGTACCACTTGTATTTAACTTTTAACCTCCATGTTTAAAAGCACATACAGCGAACCTTGGCATATACACCCTATTAAATAGCACATATTTGCACCAAAAAGCTCCCTGTTTTTCATCAACAAATCTGTATTTAACTTTTAATCCTCTTCCTGTTTTTCATTAGCAACACTGTATTTAACTTTTGTTACTTATCGGCTTTCTGTAATAAAACTTATTGCAAAACAAAACCACCCCTGCATCCCAATTCTCTTCCGTTTAAAATTTCAGAAAAGACCATATTTGTATTTGCTTTACAAGCTGCAAAAACTACAATTCCTTCACCAATTTGTAGAAACATCCTCTATTAAACAGGGGTATATATGCAAATACCCATCATCTTGGAGGATATACATGATCATATAATATTTTGAGCTGTATTTATTCATTGACCTTTTTCTGATGGGGTCTATATGTGAAAACAGATATCATACATCTAATTTGTAGTGACAACACAAACATCAAGAATTAGACAGTATAGTAGTTATTTTTAGCAGAAGACATTCCAAGCCTCCCATTTCCTGTGCCCGTTGCTCCTTTCAGCCTAGCTATAGTCCCTCATCTTGATCATTTTGTTAGGTCTCATATTCCTGACCTTGTTTTCCTTCTAGAAGATGCAAGTTATTTGCTTGTGGCAAGTGCATAAGCAACAGATGGAAATTTGCATATGAATATATCTTGCAGAGAATCTTGATTGATGAGATTCTGACCTATTTTTTCTTTTCTCATTTGATAGTGCATGACCGAGTCACAAAAATTCAAAATGAGCTGGTTGATCTTCAAACTGATTTGGAGAAAACAATGTACCTGCTGAAGATTGCTGATCCAATGGGAGAAGCTGCTCGCAAAAGAGATGCCAAAGCAGAAGCATCGAAATCCAAATCCATTCCTAATGTCTCGAAGCCACCAAAATCGGAGCAAAAGCAAGGGACTGCACCTACACATGTCGTAAAGCAAGGGACTGTGCCTACTACAACTGTTGGTTTAAAACCTGATGACACTTCCAGTCATAAACAAGCAGTGGAACATACAGAAGGCAGGAACATGACTGAAGACCAAGAGGCCAGCAAACCTGTGTATACCGCCGTAAAGCCGCAGTGGCTTGGTGCCACCAGGGAGATTACATCAGAAGAGAATATGGTACAGGAAACTCATTTGGATGAGAATGAATTGGATAATTTTGTGGACTACAAAGATAGGAAAGAAATTCTTGGGTCTGACAATAGATCAGAGATTGACTGTGCGGGTCCTGGTCTAATTATACGAAAACGAAAGCCTGCCCATGAGATGGGGATGGGTGTTGATAAAATCCCCAAGGTGGAAGTGTCAGTGGCTGAAACCTCAGCTGCTGATGCTGTGGCTCTGCTGCTGAAGCACAAACGTGGGTACACTGCTTTAGATGAAGTACATGAAAACAAAGAGTCCAAGAGCAAAGGTCTAGAAGGAAAGGATAATTCACAGGAGAAGCGAGTATTTGGGCCTTCAAAGCCAGCTTTTCTTGACAACAATCCAGATTATGAGTCGTGGGTACCTCCCGAAGGTAATCTATTTGATACCTAAAAGCCAAGATATCACTTGTGTCTCAGGAAATAACCTAATGAAATTAAATGCATGCAGGACAAACTGGTGATGGACGCACCTCCCTGAATGAACGTCTGGGTTATTAGTTTATGCTATCGTGACACAAAATCCATCTGGGCAAGGTGTAAAATGAAAATCATGCAGGACAGGACAGAGTAATGCGAGAACCTGACCGAATGGCTTCTTGAACTCTACCTTTCTATGATATTCCCACATGGCACCAGCTTCGCTGTGGCTTCCGCTCACTGACGATGTCCGTTTCGCCAAATTTTCCCATGTTTGTATCCTGGTGTTGTGTATCCTGGAAGCCATTAAAATGGTCAATCTGGTGAGCAAATTTTAGCAATCCATCCAAGTTAAAAATTCTCAGAGAGAGAGCTAGCTATATGGAGATCAAACTAAAAGAAAACATCAAAGAAAAGCTGACCGGGTGGGGTGCTGTGGTACCCGACTTTGTTGTCCTGGGACAGACGAACTTATATTTTTTTTCTTGAATATGGAAATTCTTTGGATAGATAGATTGGGCTGGTATCTTCCCAAATTGTCGTGCCTATGCTACAGTAACTTTTTTATCCTCTTGGGATACTTGTTTAGAGGTTGAATTAGTTGTGCTGATCAGCAATGTATATGTATGTATGCATGCCAACTTTTAGGTGACATGATGCATTTTTGTGTCTCTGTAATTTGCTGCACATGGTTGGGGTATAGCAATGTGAAGTTGATAACAGTGTGCATCAAGAACTGGGGGGCTTAGGTCAGACAGGCATGGACGCGAACAGCTCGAGTTGGGAGCTTGCTCGGGTGAATAAACACGATATGCTGTTTGGTCAGCTGGAAGCAAATCGATAGGATAGGATAGGATAGGATAGGATGGAATCATCCTATTTGCTACTGTTCCTATTTATATGCTACTAATTTATTTTTCTCTAATATCCTAAATGTCATCGATAATTTCTCTCTCTCTCCTTTTATCGATGATAGTAGCATCTTGAATGTCGTCACCTCCTACTCTACTCTTAAGTAGGCATTGCTGATTACTTCGAACTTTGCTTTTACAAAGCACTAGCTTTGTCATAATAGTCTCTCATATGTTGTTGCTTTTGTCAGTCACTTGGATCTCATCTTCTTCCCACCTCCATCGAGGGACATTAAAGGTATTAAAAAAAATACATAAAAACATCAAATGAGAGAATCGAAGGTAAATTTCTCTCTCTTTATACCGTGGTTATACGTACAATCATCACTACCAACCAACCATAAATAGCACAACCCGAATGGGATGATGTATACCACCAAACCAATTGGAGGTGAAAATTTACACCTCATGATGTTGATCGGATAAAAAGAGGGCTGTGATTGGGATAGATAGACCACATGAGGTAAGCATCACATTTGATTCTTCAGGAAGGTAAAGTAACAATCCCAAATTTAGTATCCTTCTTGCAACCTAAATATTGATCGGACAAACATCACATTTGATTTCTAGCAGTATCAAAATTTTAGGGGCAGCATAACCCTGCCTCATTTATCTGTGCACTTCACAAATAACCCTGCCTCATCCTGGTGAATTCTGCCAACACACACACAAAAAAAAAAGACTTGGCCACTTCATTACTGACAACCATCTTTCTCAAAGAAATAACATGCATGACGTGAAAAAAAAAAAGAAAAAAAGAGAGGGCCTAAATACAGAGATATGCGCGGACGGACAACGGGAAGCAAAACTAATTTCAACATCGGTTGTCTGTCAAAAAAAAAAAAAGTTAAAATATGCTCTTAACATATTCATAAACTAAAAGATTTTTCAAATCATTGCAAACTACACCTAGGACAAATCGATATATATAGAGACAAGTGAAGCAAAACCATTGCCCCGTAGACAAAAAGAAAGAATTCAACTACATAAATATAGGGGAGTCTCCTCCAAATTTGAATGCGGTGTTTACTTCAGCCAACCAGTGATCTCAATAGTTAAATAGGCTTAGGGGCCTCCTCTAACTCACAAAACCATTGTCCCGTAGACAAAAAAGAAAGAATTCAACTACATAAATATTGGAGAGTCTCCTCCAAATTTGAATGTGGTGTTTGCTTCCGCTAGCCAGTGATCTCAATAGTTAAATAGGCTTAGGGGCCTCCTCTAACTCACAAAACCATTGTCCCGTAGACAAAAAAGAAAGAATTCAACTACATAAATATTGGAGAGTCTCCTCCAAATTTAAATGCGGTGTTTGCTTCCACTAACCAGTGATCTCAATAGTTAAATAGGCTTAGGGGCCTCCTCTAACTCACAAAACCATTGTCCTGTAGATAAAAAAGAAAGAATTCAACTACATAAATATTGGAGAGTCTCCTCCAAATTTGAATGCGGTGTTTGCTTCCGCTAGCCAGTGATCTCAATAGTTAAATAGGCTTAGGGGCCTCCTCTAACTCACAACACACTTCGAAGACATGAGTAGTTGAACGAATATTTAAAAATGGCTTTAAATTATCCAGATTTACCTGATGTAACATATTACTCCATTATATGGACAGCATGACACTCATTGGCACATATACTACAACTAACCATCTGGTGGAAGAAGGGAACAGAAGGGAAGGGAAAAGAGCTGAACACCATTCATTCTCCATGTGATTGCTTTTTATTGGTTAAAAAAGGACACAAACAAATTTATCTGCCATCAACAAAGACAAACTGTCCAACCGATAAATCAAACGAAAAAAAGCAACACCACCCAAAACCAATAACTCACCTTTGTATTGCTTAGGCCTTGGAAGCTGTGTCTTTCAAACAGTCCATATTGCATAATCCCATTGATCTCATCATGTCTCCAAAGCTGCCATCATTTATCACAACAGTCAAGATAAAATATATTCACATAGAATAAATCAACAAAAGAGAAAGCAATCTTAGCCAATCTTAAGTTTCATCTGACCGATCAGAGCTTTTCCTCGGTTTTTCTGGTTGGTCCATGTCATCCTTCATGTCTTTAGAACTATCAACACTTTTTCTTGATTTCTCTCTCCTGTCAGTACTAGGTCTTGACTTTCCTCCACTTTCTGTTCTCCGCTTAGATTTATCCCCACTGACAGTGCTTGATCTAGACATGTCTGTCTGATCTGTGCTCATTCTTGAAGACTCTAGACAGTCGGAGCTCGTCCGAGGAGCCTCAGTGACATCTGATCTCTCAACAGATTCATCTTTTCTTACAAGTAAGTTCTCTATGGCTGATATGAACTTCTTTAAATGCCTGATGTAATCTGGAAAGAGTTCTAGATTATTGTGGTTGCCTCCCTTAATCCAAAGAGGTTCATACTTTTCTTTGCATAGTTCCCACAGGCGCTTCCCATGTGAACAATCAACGACATTATCTTCTGTACCCTGCAAAAACAATAACATCTGAGTCATCTAGATGGCATTTCCAATAATCTCTACCGATCCTGAAAGTTCTGCTCCAGTAGTTTTTAATATACAAGAACTATTTGGAAACACAGATTTGAAGGAAACAAAACTTATATGTAGGAAAAGACAAAAAGAGGACCGAAGAAAGAGTAATTATACTTGAATGGTTTTATAGAGCAAAACATTCAACTGAAATTATTAAAATTGCATTCTACTGTTTGTGTCATGTATGTATAGGTTTAATATTTAAATTTCTAGCCATTTATATTCAACCAGTATTTTTAATGCAGATGAATAAGTGATTCTAATTTTTTGCTGTCCAATGTTAACCATTTTGTCCCATGTCCTTAAGTATAACAGATATCCGTTAACTTGGTGTCCACTTTGTGTATCGGTGGTTACCATCTAAAATAGCAGACGCGTTTTGAAGAATTGAACAAAGCAAAGCTTGCTGCTGATATCATCAGCTCAAATATGAAGTACATACAGAAAAAAATGTTATAGATATCATTAGCTCATAGACAAGGTACATATAGAGCACTCCATCTATATAGTTTTAGTTAAGAGCCTTATATGCAAGCAGTAAAAGGGCACAAGCAAGGGTTAGTATATGAACATGCTTCCATGCAAATATACATAATAGAAGGACATGGACCATAGATATCGACTAATTCAATAGGTGAAAAGGCAAGGAAAAATTAATAATCTATGTGTGCAAAACATTGAAGGTAATATTCATTTATTTATCTTGATATCAAACACAGTCAACTCCCAGCTCCCTAAATTTTCAGACTTCATGATGAATGATACATGATATATATATTTCCATACATAGTTCATGTTTTAGAAGATGAGAAGGCAAATAAGCAACATAAACATAACAGGAAAAAAAGTTCCCTAATCAACTTATATAAATTAAACATAGGTAGGAAAAGAACAACAGAAGAAGAATGATATGGGCCTGCGACAACCAAAAGTGAAGATAAGAAAATTTGGGGACTCCCTTCTTCATGCATATATAGGTGTTCTTATATGAAGGCAGCTTGTGACGAGAAAACAACAAAAATGCAGATGTTGCCCAATTACTGTCATTCACCAAGCAAGATCAGACAAAATAACAAAAATTTGCAAACCACTGTTCATGTTATCAAAAATCAAGAATGATCAAGATGGTTTATAATATGAAAGTGAGACAAGTGGCATAGGGTATTTTGGTTTCCACAAAGGGTGCCTAGGTTTGCTAGCATCCTGGCTTGCATGCATTAAAGATTCAAAATCGTATCAAGGACTCATTAATGAATGGAGGAATCAGAAGTCCTTCAAGTCATGTGTTCTGTTAGGATGTTCCAGAAAGTACAGAATATCTTTACTCTCAATTTAGAAATATAGTCTGTATATGAAGGAAGCTGCTACTATGAACAGAAAACGAAGAGGCAAGGAAATCATATAGAACCACAGAAAATGTTTGCTGGCTGCTACCAATTATTATTTGTTGTTGAACATATTAATAGCATATTCAGAAAGCAAAAGAAGGCGGGAACATTATATACAGCTTCAAAGAGGATCTCAAATGTCAAATTCCAAAATGGATGGACCAAACTATCTAATTGCTTTGTTTACTATGCAGAGTGGGGAGTGGGGAGTCCACTAAACCAAAAGTAGCCATTATTAACGTCAAGCCTCTAGTATGCCCTTGCAAGGCTGCATTTGGGTGCCATGCTGGGAGAACCAGATTAGATCTATGTATTCTACAAGAGGGGTGCCCGATCTGTTTATCTAAGGATGGTACCAATCTTGTTTCCTCTTGTATAATTGATGAATTGGAGCTTGAGTGAGTTGATAGATATAATAATGCAGCGTACTTACCGATGTATTGAAGTTAGCTGTTGGGGCTTTTTGAAAAATCATGATAAAATTCTCTTGTATCGGATGTTGATATGAAACAAAAAGAATTTAGTCATCGAAGAATATGCAAATGAGCCTAAGCAAGTTTTAAGAGTTCAATGGATCTATGTCCAACATCCAAGGTTATTTGGCTTCACAAGTAACATAACAACAAAAAGTTTACCATTCAATTTCTCTAAGAAAAAAGTTCACTCTTAAATAGTGGATCATAGAATGAGAAAAGAGTTCACTCTTAACTAATGGATCATAGAATGTTGCACTAGGCATAGAACAGTGATTCTACCTAGTCAAATTTAACATAAAAAAGAAATTGGGAATTGAGATTCTAAATATTTTATATTAAGAGAAGATTCACTCAGCAAAAAGATCTA